AAAAGTTGAAAATAAAGAGATTTCATGTGGTACTTTTGTATGTTTGGATGTTTCCGTTGGTGAGATACTTTGAAATTCTGTTTTTTCTACTATAGAAATATAGGTATATATTATTGCAAAAACTTCGTTAGTGAATATCGAGTTTGCTCTTTGTGAATTATGATATTGTATGCTTTTGATATATTCTAAGAATACTTTTGAAAGTTCTAATTCAAGATCATCTGTTTGAATTACGTATTTACGATGATTCGTATATGGTGTGCTGAATTCTATGGTGTAGATTCCATATTGTTGTGTTAAGTTACATATAACTTTCAAATAATGTTCAATAATTTTTCTTTTGATTTTTACATCTGGGAATTCTGCTTTGCATGGACTGATTCCGGGCTCAAACAAATTTACGAGTAAATTCTTGAAAAAATCATGTTGCCCTCTATTATCGGGTGCATCTATGAGGAAGGGGTAAACCTCTTCGTCATCTGGACTATCGTCACTTTGAGTATGGCTCATTTTTTTTGTTTGATGACTGTTAATATATAACTATCGATGTGTCTAATTGGTTGATTCCGATTATACAAGTGTACTGGTTTGTGTTTGTATTGCCTTTTTATTCTTCTTTTCCCTCTTTTTGATGAATTCGAAGTTGTTTCTGAATCGGAAAAATATAATTGATCGTGAATGGGACATTTTTTATCAATTGATTCTTTTAATTTGTATAGTTCATCTAAATTGTTGGCTTCTGATTCTGAAAATGCGTTTCTATTTTTTGAAAATCTTTTTCGTGTGATTTTTCTTTTTTTTTGTTTGTCGTTTTGTTCTAATGTATCCAACTGTTTGTGTATGAGGTGTGATGACAAGATCGTGTTTTTTGCTATCTTTCTCACAGTTGTGTAAAACGATTGTTTGTTTATTTCCTAGATTTTTGAATGACATAAGGTTTAGGATGAGGGATGCAAAAAGTTGTTAGGTATTTCTATTTTCTTAGACTGTTAGTCCTTACAATTTTTTGGTTAGCATAACCTGGGTCTTTTTATTTAGGGTTGGAGAGAAAAGTATATCAATTCCGAGGAATGATTTTTAACTTTCTCGTGGCTAGTCTAAGTTAAGTTTTTAATATACTTAATCTTACTTAGGGGTAGTGATTGTGTTCAAGGGTTGGAGAATAGTAAATCGATCCACAAGGTTCAGGTATAATTAGAACGCAAGTAGTTTGTTAGGTACTATTTTAAACTTACTAAGTCTAAGATTTATCCTGGGTCTGGTAAGAGGAGGGTTCAAGTGAAGGATGAATAACCGAAGTTCTTCACTGTTTATCTTAATTTGAATGGTTAGTTTTATTTAAAAATTTCTATTAGTCTTGGGTCTTTTGAAAGGGTTGGATAGTGAATCGACGTTTGAGGTCGTTAGACACTTGTTAAGTGTATGGGGGAGATCAAAATTTTTCTTTTTGGTCCAAGGATAGGCCTTGATGATCAGGTTTTAAAATTAAGTGAATTTAAGTTTAATTTGGTTTAAATTTATTTAAGAAAAAGATTTAGTATTTTAATGATATTAGTGAGTTTATGATTGCTGTTATGTTTAGGTGATGAAGCTGGGACAACAGATGATTTTATGATTTTTAACAATTTATTGTCATGCTACTAAATTTTATTTTCATTTTCAATAAATATTTTTCAAACATGTTTTATATAAGACTGCAGAAATTAAGAAAACGATCTGAGATCTTTTTATCAATCGTTATTGTATATTAATAATTTTGTTTAGCGCCTGAAATGATCATGAAGATTGACTATAAAATTTTATGTTTGCAGATGAAAATCTAAATTCATTGCTAATAAGATTCTAAATATAAAAATTTGTGTTGGCTTTTGCCGTACGATCATAAAACGATCATAAATTTCTACTTTGTCGTATGTCGTCTCTTGTTCGAGGTCTTCTTCCAATTCCGGGTAGTTCTATTATCGTTCGGAATATCGGCTCTGATCTATTGAGTCGTAGAGACATTTCGATTAAATTATTATCGTATAACATTTTGAAAACGTTTTGTCTAAATTCTAATCTATTTTTGGTTAATTCTAAGCTATTAAGGTCTTATTCGAGACTTATGGTCGCACCAGATGAGTTATTTCTAATGTGGTTAACTCATAGAGTTTTTTCGGATAGGGTACACCGTCTGCTCGTCACGCTATCTTATTTTCGGCCGGATAGATTCGTGCAACTTCTTAGTCTAATACCGATCCTAATCTTACTCTTATACTTTCTAGTCTCAGGATGTTTAACTAGTCTCTGCTAGGCTCAATAGATCTAGGGTATACTGGTTTGTTGCGGCTGCTGAAGTTCTCTTGGAGAGACAACTAATTTCTAAGTTAAATTCAAATCTCTCTGGTGCTGAAATTACAAGTAATTTCAGCACTTACAAATAAGTGGGTTGTTAGTTAGATGGATCATGATTGGTCAATATGAAATACTTTACAGTGGTAAAATATCTAATTTATCCAATCATAAAATATAGTTTAGATCAGGTTCCAGTTATACGCAGACATAGAGTATGCAGCCAACTTTCAACTGTGCAATAGATAATTCTTCTAAAATCGTCCATCGCAAAAAAAGGACTGCACATATCAGGGCGAAGTCCAATTTGTTCCGACTGCCTTTTAAAGTTTATGAAATCGTGATCATTTTGAAACTAAAAGTTTATGAAAACCTCAAAAAAATTACGCACATTTTAGAAATTTGTTTGAAAACTGCCCCCTTTACCCAAAAAGTACAGAATGGGTTCTTTTCCAATCCACCTCAAATCATAATTTCAATTTGTAAAACTATGTTGGCACTGCCATAAGGCAAATAAAACTTCGCTTGTCGGTTGGATAAAATAACTCCTGTGATCAGATTTGCTTTCCATGCCTTACATCGTAACGGCGCACAGACAATTCGGCCAAAGACAATTCAGCCAATTTGAAACTCAGACAATTCAGCCAAAAGTATACAGACAGTTCAGCCTGAGACAATTCAGCCAGTTTTACAAAACGCTTGATTTGACAGAAAAAAAATCGGAATTGGAGTTATTTCTCGGTTTAAGGTCGCCGGTGGGCGCGCTACGCGCGCGTCGCCGCTTTGCGGCGATAACCGGCTCTTAATTTCGTATAGAGTCCTTGCAAATTCGCAACACGTTGGCGCGACTGCGGCAGTCACTATTATTGGCTGAATTGTCTCTGGCTGAATTTTCTGCATACTTTTGGCTGAATTGTCTAAATTTCAAATCGGCTGAATTGTCTTTGGCCGAATCAAGAACTGAATTTTGATCAAAAAAATACATCAGAAATAAGAAATTTTAAGAAAGCCATTGCTTCATTCAAATATTTCAAAAAGATATTCTTCCCATATACTTAAATTAGAAGTCATATAGTTCTGATTCTTTTACACTTTCTTCCAACCTTTCCATTTCATTTTTGAAAAACTAATTTAAGGTTGTCAAAAAGCAATGAAATTTAGCATATGAACATACTAACAATTATGAACACATCGTTATTTGTATATTAGATCATCACATTGCGCGTTTAGCAATAATCACCCATACATCAATTAAAAATTGGAAAACTCGAAAGGTGGGGGGAGTAGAAAAGAGCCATATTTTTCAACTGCATCAAAAAAAGTATGTTCGGTACGGTCTTAGAACGAGTTCTAAATACCCACTTACGCGTTAATAGCTTGTAACATAACGAGATTAGTTATCGGTCAATTGGCAATCGTTAAATTCCCATACTCTTACGAAAAACAATCAAAAGTAAAAGATCTTTTTGATATAGACCTCAGGACAAGAAAACTTTTCGGATGATATAAACAAATACCAAAAACACCAACGTTAAAAAGACTTTTCAGTATTGGGCTCTTTTTCCTTCCCCCCCCCACCCCACCTCACTCAAACATGAGTTTTATGTTTTATGGTCTAACGAGTGCTTTTACAAGGTGTTTATGAAGACAAAATATGTTTGCCATGGCATAATCAGTCTGCATGACAATCGATCAAAGTGAACAGTAACTTCAAATATAAAAATTTGCAGGTGGGGGGGGGGGAGGAAAAAGAGCCCAGTATTGTATTTGAAAGGGAGGGGGAACTGGAAAAGAGCCAAAACTCTAAACTTTTCCAGGGATAAAACCATCCGAGTACATGTTTTTTGTCATTTTCTTCAAAATTGGGAACAAAAAATGAAGCACGTGTGTTAATTAACTTAAAAGTCACTAAAAATCACTAAAAAGTCACTCTGTCTTATACTGGAGAAAAAGTAACGCAACAAGAAAATTAAAAAAAAAAAACAAGAAAAAATCCAAATTAATTAAATTGAGTGTTTGAAATTATTTGAAAGTAAATTTTCGAAAACTTGGCTCTTCTTCCTTTCCCCCCACAAGCAAATTTTTATATATGAAATTCCTGTTCACTTTGCCTTGTATTTAATTAACCTTGTAAAACCACTCGTTAGACCATAAAATTCATGTTTGAGTGAGGTGGGGGGAAAAGGTAAAAGAGTCTAAAACTTAAACTATTATTTGAATGCAATAAAGGTCTTCGTAGTTTAATTCAGGTTTTTCTCTTCAGTTGGAACAAAAAATTATTATCCAAAAAAATAAATCGCTCTTTTAAAAAACCAATCCAAAACTTTATACGGCTCTTCCCCCCCCCCCCCCCCCCCCCCTCCCAAACATTTTTTTCTTTTTCTTTTTCCCCCCACCTTCAATTTTATGGTTAATTGCGATAAAAACTCCCTATTGTGATGACCAAGGAGTGCTTTTTTTCAGTTTCAGTTAGTCAAACAGTTTTGATTTTCAATCGTTTTGATTTAACATACAGAAGTACAAGTTTAAGTATTATAACTTGATCTCAAAAAATCTGATTGGATTGCTTTCTTTCTCCAGTAAATAATTTCTTCCCAACAACGCAAACACAACTTTAGTTTTAAAAAAATCTCAAAAAAATAGCACAAAAGAACCAAATAAACGAAAATATGAGTAACAACGATCAAAGAGACGAGTCTCCGGTTCGGTATGAAATTGTGAGAGTAAATGGACGAGAGGTGGCAATCAAGGCTCCAAGAGTGGTGGGAAACAGAGACTACTGGTATCTGAAGTACCCTGAGCCACTGCAGAACGACTCGCCATACCTTCCAGTGAGGTCAGCATTTCAGCTTTGCAATCTACAGTTCACTCCCCCCCCCCCTCCTCAACTCCCACAATCATCAACTTTATGGTGCTAATCGCAAGGATAGTTACAGTTGTAGAACTGATAATGCGTTTTGGCTCTTTTTCATCCCCCCATCTCAAATATGGATAGAGGCGGATTTAGTGAAAGGGAGGGGGGTGGAGTGCTTAGGCTTACGCTCCGTCTCATATCAGGGATTCGACCCTCTGCCGACCCAAAGAGTCCCCCTTTGAACTCTTTTGAGATATCTATTTTTGACTGACTGACCCTAGAATGTTTCTAAAGGCGCCTTCGACACGACAAAATACAAATTTTAAGGAGGGAGCGCGGGCCGAAAAAACGCGACTTTTTGGTAAACACTTTCAAAAAGTGGCTAAAAAGCTATTTATAACCTGGGCTTTTTTTTCTTTCCCCCCTACCTGCAAATTTTTATATTTAAAGTTACTGTTCGCTTCTTCCGATTGTCATGAAAATTGACATGAAGACTAATTAGGCTATGAAAAACATATTTGTTCTTTATGATTAACCTCGTAAAACCACTCAATAGAGCATAAAATTCATGTTTGAGTGAGGTGGGGGAAAAGGAAAAAGAGCCATAACCTGTTTTGGCTCTTTTCCATTTCCCCCACCCCTTTCAAATTCAATACTGAAAAGTCTATTTAATGTTGTCATAATGCAATGAAAATTGGTGGGACAAATCGACAATTCTGAACAGATTTATTCTTCATACTGTACAGCGTAACATCACGAATTTAGCCGTAGTAACCCGTAAAACAAACATAAAACTCGGTGTTTTGAAAAGGGGGAACTGGAAAAGAGCCCTTGTTTTTCAAAACTTTTGCCAAAATAGGGTCTTTGTAGTGCTTTTGGAGAGCTCGGAGCTTCTCTTTCCCCAACCTTCCCCCCACCTCACATAAACTTCAGTTTTATAGTGTAACAAGTGGTTTTACAAGGTTAAGTATGAAGACCAATTATGTTTGTCATGGCCTAATCATTCCACATGCATAATTTTGTTACAATCGAAAAGGTGAAAAAAAATTATGGGGGGGTGATTGAAAAGTGCCCATGAAAAACATTTTTAGTCCTGATACTTATTCTGGTAAAACCTCTCGTTACACCATGATGTTCTCTTTACACCATGATGGCGGAGGAAGGAAAAAAGTGAGGTGGGAGATGTGAGGTGCGAGGCGGGGGGGGGGGAAGAGAAGAGTTCCAAACTTGGATATTCGAAAAAAAGGTATTGATGTTTACGTGAGGTAGAAACAAGAAAATCTCTTCTCAATGTGAAGAAAGAAAGAGAACCTAATCAACTGATTTACGCACCAACTGCTTTAAATAATTTTCATATGGAAGATACTTCGGCGAATTCTAGCACAGAGGTTACATCTGAGAGTCTGCGATCGAAAGATTGTGGATTCGAACTTCATAGCTATCGGTAGGGCTGATTGGTGTGGAGTAGTTGAAGCCCTGCGCTTGAAACGTCCAAGTGACCATCTACGTGCCTAAATCCTAACCGCTTCCTATTTACGGAATGAAGAGCTCAGTCATACCCGCCCTTACAAATCAAGAGACTAAGGGGTTCAAGGTCAAGAGACCGAGGGGCAACTGCTCCACATGCAACAACATTTTTAACAATACAAACAAATGGGTTTCCTGTTTAATTTTCCTGGCTCTATCCCCCCTCCCCCATCTCATCAATAATCACCAATTTTATGGTGTAACGAGGGGTTTCACAAGGTTCAACGGCTCTTTTTCCTTTTCCCACCACCTGCAAACTTTTCTATTTAAAATTACTGTTCACATTTCCGATTGCCATGAAAAATGATATGCAGACTGCTTAGGTCATGACAAACATACTTGATTTTCATAATTAACTCTGTAAAAGTACTCGTTAGACCATAAAATGATGCTTTTGTGAGGTGGGAGGAGGAAGGAAAAAGAGCCGGTTCAACATGAAGACCAAATATGTTTTTCATGGGCTCTTTGTCCTTTTCCCCGCACCTTTCACGACCATCAAATTTGTGGTGTACCGAGTGATTCTACAAGGTTGAATATGTTTTTGGGCTCTTTTTCATTCCCCCCCCACCTGCAAATTTTTATATTTGAAGTTACTGTTAACTATGTTCGATTGTTATAAAAATTAACAGGCAGACTATTTAGGCCATGACCAACACATTTAGTCTTCATAATTTACCTTGTAGAACCACTCGTTAGACCATAAAATTCATGTTTAAGTGAGGTGGGGGAAAAGGAAAAAGAGCCCACAAATGATATAACGTTTCAACGATGATAATCTTAAAAAATTGAACTTTTAAATTATCAGACCTTGATCAAGGCATAAATAGACACGCCATAAAAAAGAAGTGAGGGCTCTTCTTCCTTTTCCCCCCACCTCACTCAAACATGAATTTTATGGTCTAACGAGTGGTTTTACAAGGTTAATTATCAAGACCAATTATTTTTGTCATGGCCTAATCAGTCTGCACGTCAATTTTCATGACAATTGGACAAAGTGAACAATAAGTTAAAAGATGAAATTTTGCAGGTGGCGGATGGGGGTAGGAAAAAGAGCCTTAATGCTTATAAGAAAGGGCGGTGGTGAGGAAGTGCCATTTTTTTACACAAAAATATATGCCCCTCGCAAAACTCTAAATTTAATTTTCGAAGCAGGTATTAAGTTTCCATGCATTCGAATGATTTTAGGACTCTTTTTTCCTTTCTCTGGCGTCTTCTGGTTCAATTTCTAATTCTGGTTTGGCTGGAGGATCATTATAGACAGTTCTTAGAGGTTCTAGAAAAACTTGATTCGCAATTTTCTCAACTTCATTACTTTAAAAAATTGGCCATAGATTCCACGTATCTGCCAGCAGGCCTAGATTCCAAACCACTTTGATATGATTTACTTATGTACTTAGCTTACTTAGTTAAATCTTAAGCTCAATGTTTTAACAGGTCACTTACGTTTGACCTTGATACTATCTTTCTCTCCGGCGCAATGATTGATCTGTCACTTTTTAATGTTTTAACTTTCAGATTAATTCATTTTTATCCTTTATTCTTTTAATTGTACAATAGTAGAAATAGCTGTAACAGAGTAACATATTATCATAGCGCAATCAAACAACGAATCTAAGGTGAGAGAACTACCTTCAATTTGGCAGGACCATACGGTGGACCCTTCAACACCTTGGAAAGAGTGGAGCGATCTTTTTCATTTAGCTAAAATTGCGAAGGAAAACGTAGATATCGAAAATCTTTTCAACCCGATCAACAGACATCATCCACATTCATTTGTATTCAAGAATCCGACGGAGAACAAATCGTGAAACCAGAGAAAAGCACGACTGGAGAGGAACATTCGAGAACAGAATCGATATGACTACGAAGAAGCCGCAACAATCGAATTAGAAACGAAATGATTTAACGGATTGACAATCGAAAAAGCCGACAAAAAGTTTCGCTCAACCCCTCTGTTTAGCCCTCGGAAACGAAGTAAAAAAGATATTCGGTAAAAAATTTACAAGAATGAAAATTCTTCAAGTCTCTTTTAAAGAATTTTGGGAAACTCTAGCAACGAAGTTCATGAGAAAAAAAAACGTCACACCTGAAAGGCACAAACTCTTACAAAGACAACAACCCAAAAAAGGTCACTATAGCAATTCTGCTTTAGCTAAAATGGCGGAAAGTATGACATATCCGACAGAGAGGACGAATCGATAAGGGATATTTTTATAAGCAATATGAAAAACTCAGATATACAGAAAAAACTACTGACGGGAACCCTACCACCTCTGGAGGCACAAAACGTTGCATTGATAGACGAAAAAGGGATAACTAACCATATGAAGATGACTAATACCTTTAAATCAAACCGATCATGTGTACATGAACTTTGTAAAAAAATTTTCGTCAAAAGAGAGAGAACCAAATTTTAATGCTGAACGAAATGACAACTGCATGAAATGCGGCGGCACATTCTCTGAAGGAAATCTCGCAGTTTGACCGGCGAAGTAGACAACCTGTACATTATGTAAATAGAAAAGCCATTTCACCAGATTATGTAAATCTTGTCGTAAAACTGTAAACTTTGTAAATACCCAAATTGTAGATACTACAGATTTAAAACTATCACGTGGATCAACCGGATGTAAATACAGACCGTGTGAATAGAGAATACTGTGGAGTGATCAATGCATGGTCAGAATCCAGACAGAGCGACAACGGTGGTTATTCTGTACTAAATGTAGGAAGGAAAAAACTTAAGAGACCGCTAAATATTGGCTTCGGGAAAGAAAATCGAGCAATTTTGAATGCACAAGTGGACTCTGCTAGCCCGGTTAGTTATCTCAAGATAAATATTCTCCACAAACTGAAGTTACGGGACCCGTATTTGAAGATTTAATTGGTGGATCGACCAACAAGGGAACTATACTGCAGGTTCACGGACAACGCCTTCAACCTCATTGTCAAACTTTCTCAAATGGATGGGCATACAAAGAATGGCATTTTTCCAGACAGAATGTCACGAAATGAGCCTCCTCGGAATTGACAATTTGCTTTAAGTGGGGATTGAAGTATCACAGAAGCAGTTCCCTTACTTCGAGTCCAATAAGATCTGTATGTCTAAAAATTTCAATTCTTCCGACAAAAAAGACAGGGAGATCGAACATATTTCAAAAAATTTTGAGCATCTATTCAGTCGGATTGGAAAATTAGAAAATCAAACAAAAGTCACTCGCTTTCACTTATCACTAAAAGTTATTCAGCTAAAATGTAGACGAGTTCCCATTCATCTACTAGATTCAGAGATTCAGTCAAAACCAAACAAAGGACATAATAGAAATTGGAAAATTGTGAAGAAGATAGAATCATTGGCCCAATTGTCATTACTTGTAGGAAAGACAAATCAAACAAACTAGCACTAGACTCTAATTTCATCAAGCAAATCTACAAAAACAAACATCAACTGCCGAATATTCACGAATTTGTAGATAACGTAGGGGCACAATTTTCAGTTGATTCCGTTGGGTAAGTGTGGTTCAATAACTATGATTTAAAAATAGCCTAGAGTCAACTGATTTGACTGGTAAAAACTACAAATCATGACTGGTAAAGCAAGATGTGTGGTCTACCCGAAAAAAGTATGGATTATCAGGTAGATAAATGTAGTCTTGAAGAAAGTCGATAAGTGTATTTGTCGTTTGTCGAGGTAGATGTGGTATTTTTTGCTGATGGAAATTTTGAGAGTTTATCAATACAAAACAAAATGAATTTGTTTGTACCCCATTGAAAATCCAAAGGACCAGTGAAATCTAAGTTAAGTTCTTCGTTTGGTTCAGACAGAAGGGTTAGTTTGTGAGTTCGGGATTGCGCTTTTCAAGTTTTCTTAGTGCTTTCCTAATCATTTATGCCATGGAAGTAGTTTTGTCTATTTATATGAGGCCACCAGATATATTGGGTTAAGTATTTCATTCCGATTTGCCAACTTCAAGCTTTCACGGTATTTACAAGTTTTTCGTGCTCTGATGACAGCGGGAATTCTTTATAAAAAAACTTAAATACCGGAAGTGGTTATTTTGGTCTAAATTTTGATGGTGTAATCTAAGGCTGAATTGATTGAACCGGTCATTTCTGTTTGACCTTGATACTTTCATTTTCTCCGGCGGAGAGAATTCTCTGTCACTTTTGAATCTTTTAACTTTCAGATTAATTCACTTTTATCATTTTATTTTTTCTGTATATAAGTAGAGTTAGCTGTAACAAAGTAACATTTTATCATACTCCGACCAATCATCAGACACTGCCAACTGTTCGATGAAGGAAAGGACTTAACTCTCCAACTTGAATAGGACTGTTGAATCGGAATATATAAATTAAATAATGCAATATACAAAAAAGTTTATTGCACAAGTAGTTCTTAGAATTCAAGATTTATCATCAAGCTTGTGATTAGAAGTCTTCAATGCAGATTTTTCGACAAGCGATTTTAGTAATCAGTCGTTTGATTGGCAAACAGTAAAACTAGCAGTTTAAGAGTTTGCTTGAATCGAATCAAGATCGTAAATCAGTATTCATTGTTTTAGTATTGTTTTGTATAAATGGCTACACTTGAACTAAAAGTAACTTAAGTAGCACTTCGTAATGTCCAGCATAGTTATGAGATTCAGGTGCGCACCAAATCCGCTGACACTAACTTGGTATTTGTGCGGTCAGGACTAGAGCTGGAAACGAGTGCCCTGACCTTCGTGTTAAAAATCGAGTACCCTGAGCACTTGGCCATAGTCACTATTTATGTTTTAGGTCGGCATATCCTCCCCCCTTCACAGCAGAGTTGCCAGGACAGGTGGGCAACTGGAGTTTACCTACTGTTCCGATGACCTTAGGAGAAATCAGAGAAACGTACATGCCAGAAGCTCCCAGACGTCAGCGTCGAGGCAATTTTACATCGGGTTAGAAGACGTTTTTGAGGCTCTTTTCCAGTTCCCCCTTTCAACCCAGGGGTAGACATTTTTGACCTGCATCCGTCTGAATTTTGCAAGTATAGTTTGTGGTGACAGCTCGCACAGTAAAAACCGCTGCTTTTGGTTCAAATATCGTTGCAATCGTGGTATTTTTGCTATTCTTCATCACAAAATTTTTACAAAGTTACGCAATTTTGGGCAATTTTCTAAATTAACAAGAGCAAGACCGAAAACCCACACCTGTTCTCAACCCATTCTTTATAATTTTAGGTAGTTAGGGACAGAAATAAATAGCAGCAAAAAACTGAAAAAATATGAGCAAAAAAATTGAGCAAAAAAATGTGTGTGGCAAGACAAAAACCAGAAAGTTTTTCGATCAGCGGACAGATTTGAACCAAGAAGCCTTGTAAACTGACTTTTTAACTAACGCAAAACAGTTTTGTCTTCGGATGGAAAGTATTTTTTCAAAAAAAAATAGAGTTTTTTTTAACTCGTTATCCTTCCTTTGTGTTTTATTCTGTTGTTTTTTTTTTGCATTCGCAGAAATTTCTGCGCCCAGGATCAAGCTCTCTAGGCTTCTTACAACCCCCGGAGATCCAAACGCTGGTCCACAACTTCAGGACGCCAACCAGGTTTTTCAAACTGCCGATACGGGTTCTCCGGGGACACATCCCCAGTTAAATACAGGTGCTCAGATACAGCAGCCAAATCCGTCGTTGCGCCGCGGAAGCGCACCCGCTATAGGGGACTTTACTCCGGTTTATAACACAATTTGGAGTCCAACGGAGAACCTTGGTGCTCCCCCTGGAACATTTGCAATGCAGCCAAGCAGCTCTGGGTCTGTAAATGCGTTAGTTTTACAAGAAAAATATACATAATAACAAAATAATGGTTGTGGGTCCATCCGATAGATAACAGGCTATTTTTGTGAACTTAAACCAAAATAGCCAACAGTTTTTTTTAGACATTTGAAAAAATAAGTGAAAAAGTTGAATTTCAATACGCACAGATCAATGATTGAACGATTGAATGATTTTGGACGAGATAACTCGTGTTGACAAAAAATGTCTATTATACAACTTCATATTATGAAAAAAAGCATATGAAAATACCATATGAAAATAACATAATCAGCATTTTTCCATACTATGAAGTTTTACTGTACAGTTTTGCTGTACGGTTTGTGCTGATAAACAAAAAATTGTTTGTTTTCTTTTTCATTTTGTTTTAAAATTAATTTATAGGTTTTTCCGTTCCCCGACTTCGATTTCGCAATATTTGAAATATTTATCTGCTTTTTTTCTAATCGGACAACTTCCGATTTTAATGGCCTGGATTTACACTTTCAGATTTCTGCAGTTTGTTTGAGATTTTCGATTATTCAATTCTGACTGGCTGAAAATAAGTGAAACATTCGGTCCCTCCATCATGATGGACGCCGCCCTCACCTTTCTCTCAGGAAAAAAGTTGCTTAAATTTGTTCATTGGAATCAAAATGTGAGCTTTTTTGAGAAATTTGATTAAAAAATGAACTGAGCTAGTTTTTCTAGGGTATCACCGACATTCCAGTCGCCCAGTACTTATCCGGGTTATAATGGAACAACTATGAATGTGGACATGGATGCTAATGCCACTCCTATGAGGCCAGGAAGATCATTCGGACCATCTACTCCCATAGCAAGACCACACAGGGATTAACTGTCATTTAGTAGTAGAGCTAACATAATCTTCTATCAAAAAAAATCATCAGATAATCATACTAATTTAAACAATCATAACCATAATCATAATAATAATGATAATCATAATCATGCTAAAAACCATGATAAGAATCGTAATAAAGATCATGCTCAGTAAAGATCAAGATAATCGCAATAAGGATTATAATAAAGATCATAATAAAAATCATAATAATCATGATAAAAATCATCATAATTATATTCCAAATAATCATAATGATTATCAACGTAAAAATCGCAATAATAAAGATATTAATCGTAATCATAATCATAATCATAATCATATATTAATAATAAAATATATTAATCTTAATTATAACAAGTCTGCTCGTATTAAGGCAAAGCCCTGAATGTTCCGACTGCCTTTCAAGGTCTATGGAGCAGCAATAACATGAAAAATTCAAATGTAGAAATTTAAAAAAAAATTGATGTTTTTTTTGTGAAAACATGCCCCCACACGCCATATTCAGTACAAAGTGATAATGTTTGCTCCTATTAACAAATCAATTATGACATATAAGCTTCCTTGAACCAATTTGGAATAATTTTTAAGACGGATTATATCTCGCTTAATCGTTAAAACCGCAAAAGATATCGCGGGTTAATTGTCCCAAATTGTCCGAAATTTCTATCTTTAAACCCCCATAACTTTACAAAAAACGATCACAAGTGAAATATATTTTCAAATTTAAGCTAAGAACAACAATAGCTTTCGAGCGATATAAAATAACCCACCCCGAGCACCTTTCGTTACGAAAATCGGAACAATAACCATAAAAGTAATTGTAATAACTACAATATAAAAGTCATAACAAGACTGCTCGTTTCAGGGCGAAGCCCTTAATGTTCCGACTGCCTCTTAACATTTAAGGAGCAGTAATAACCTATAAAAATAAAATGTAATAAAAAAAATGAAAATTTTTTTTTCTAAAATTTGATTTTTTTTTAACAAAAATCATCCCCCCACACGCCATATAAAGTACAAAAGGATAAATTTCGCTCCTTATATTAAATCATTTATGGCTAATAAGCTTCTTCCATCCAATTTGGAATGATTTCTAAGACGGATTAAATCTCGGCTTACCCGTTAATAGCGCGAAATATATCGTGCGTTAATTGTCCCTTAATTGGCCAAAATGGCCATCTTTAAACCCCCGTAACTTTACGAAAAATGATCACAGGTGAAATATCTTTTCAAATTTAAGCTCAGGACAACAATGACTTTCAAATGATATAAACAAAACTCCGTCAAAAATGGCTAGTTAAAAAGCCGAAATTTGTCTGAAGAAAAAAAAAAAACCACCCGAGCACAAATTTTCCGTTACTTTCGTATCGAAAGTCGGAACAATAATCATAATCATATTAATCACAAAAATAATCATTATAATCATAATCAGAATAATAAAACTTTAGAGATGAAAAAACTGCTATGATATTCATAATAATCATAATAGTAATCATGATGAAAACAATCAGAATCATATCATCATAAAATAATCAGAAAAATCATAACATTTAATTATAAAAATCATAAAATAATCTTAATAATAATCAGAATAAAAATCATAAATCATGAAAACTACTTGTAAAACTCATTCATCATAATCAGAATGTCAAAACTAGTCATCATAAGAGTTGTTATAAAAATCATAATTATGGCAAAAATATTAATTGTAAAGTAACCATAGAAAAAATTATTCAAAATAATAATCATAATCATAATAATCATTCTAATATTAATCATAATAATCACAATAATAACAATAATATTCACCATCAACATAATAACCTTAATAATAATCATAATAATAAATTGTTTCCAAACTTCTAGTTATATGTTGATTTATATAAGATTACAAAAAGAAAAACTGAAATGTACGGGAGAAAAACCAGTACCCGCACTGACAAGAAATGGTTTGAAACCCATTTTATACAGATAATCTAGCAAAAACCTAAAAAGTCGATGCTTTGAATCGATTTAAAATTGATTTATTTTGATGCAAACTTGTAGTTTGAAAAATTGTTTTCGTTATTTTGTCGACATTTTGTATACGCATTTAAAATAAATACAAAAAAATTGAAAAGTTCGATTGAAGGCGTAAGAAATGTACATTCTTGTTGCCTATCGTTTCAATAAGCAAAAATAGCGCAAAAAATACAAACCTTGATGAAAATTGTCGAAAAAGGCTAAAATATCAGAAATTTATGAGAAAAGTTTTATAAAAACTGGATAGAACTGTTTATGCGGGGAAAACACAATGATTATAAGAACGGAAAATAACAAAAAAAAATTATTGCTAACAAGATAACGAAAAAATGCTAAGAACAACCGAAAAAATGTCCATTAAAGAACAACCGAAAAATGTCCTATTAAAAGTCCTATTATAAGCGATCGTTAATCGATTTTTATAATCTATACTATCTGTATTTAAATCGATTTAAGTCGATTTCAATCTCAAATTTATCAGTGCGGGTAGGCCAGCATGGCCAATTTTCATGTCTCATCAACATAATATTTTACTTTTCAGACTTAATCGATTGTTAACTGTTTAAGTTTATTGAAACGCTTCGTTATGTTCGTAACACGGCTAAAAGGGATCACTGCGAGGCAAAACTGTCACTTTTAGAGACAAACAGAAATGCAGTTTCTCTGCGACTAAAAGAAGGCTTTTTTCCACCCCACTTTCCAAATACCGAGTTTTATGTTTAGTTTACGTGTTTTTACGGCTAAATTCGTGATTTTACGTTGTAACGTAAAAGAACTAATCTGTGTAGAGTTGTCGATTTGTTCACCAAGCCAATTTTCATTGCATTATGACAACGTTAAATAAGCGTTCAAATTTGAATTTGAACGGGGGGACTGGAAAAGAGCCTAAAAAGCTCATGGTAGCCTAATAATGATTCATTTTAGCCACGTTGTTACGACTCCGATAGTTGTTGCGATTCAACTTTTGAAGACTTTACAGTCAAAAAGATGAAAAAGTTCAATCCAGCTTCTAATTTATTCGAACTTAGAGGGAACCATTTTTATTTTTGATACTTGAAGCTACATTAATCAAAAGCTCTTTTTCGAACCCCCCCCCCCCCCCCCCCCCACCTCACTCAAACATGAGTTTTATGTTCTAACGAGTGGTTTTACAAGGGTAATTATCAAGACAAAATATGTTTGTAATGGCCTAATTAGTCTGCATGTCAATTTTCACGACAAAGTTAACAGTAACTTCAAATATAAAAATTTGCAGGTGGGGGAAAAGGAAAAAGAGCCCCATCAAACACTTACTTATGACGTTTCGATCTCTTCAGAAATTTAAAATTTTATTTAAAAAAAAAGGATTTTAAGAAAGTGTACTGGTGTTAGAAAAATAATAATAAATAATGTTCATTGACAATTTATTTTCTTTGCGATATATTAGTATGACAGTTAATCAACCCTCTTTGTAGCACATTTGAAACATACTCGTCGCCTATGATACCACACCACCAAAGCCCTGCACAGAATGCTTTCAATTACTCCAACACACCCTCTTCTAGCCAGAACTTCGCACCGATGAACCAGATGATGACTGCTTCTCCCGGAGGCGTGGCTGGACCCGGAGGCGTTGCATATTCTCCGGAAGGGGCTGAAAATGATGGATATGAAAGCAACACGCCTACTAACAGCCCAGGCTACAGCGGATGGCAATAATAAAAAGTCCGATAGCTCATTTAGATCAACCTAAAAAAGAGAAATGAAGATAGATCCGAGCAAATTTCGATTATTTTTATGGCAGTTTTCGTTTCAATTACTGTTAGTCGTTTAAAAAAAAACACTTAAATCAGTAGCGTGCTTCGGATAATTTTATAAGAGAGAAGACTGGAAAAATGTTGTCTATATTTTTGGATTTTTGGGTAATTTCGGGCCTGACTTTCAAATTTTTCAGCCGCGCCAGTAATAATTCAAGAAACAAAATAGCGAACCAAAAAGGCAGTTTCAGCGGTAACTTATTGGAAAGTTTTCTTTACAGTTTTTTTAGGATGGGAGCATTTGCGAACATTTGAAAAAAATTTATTCAACCCCCCCCCCCCCCCCCCCCCCCACACACAAACACCGAACAAACAAAAACACTTTATGTGAGCAAAATAAATAAGAAAGAAAGATAAATTTTAGAAATCATTTAGATACTTAATTGATTTTTGAAATAGTTGTGGGCCGCTGAAGAAACCGTTTTAACTAACGAACTTTTTTGGCGTGCGTCAAGGTTGATGTTAACTGCCTACAAGGAAGCAATCGAAAGTTTTTTTATTTATACTGTTTGATCAGTTTTTTGAAGGAACCAAGATACCAAGATAAGAAATCTACTTTGATATTACTTTTTATGCTAATAAGAGTAGGGAACGTAGTGAGAACTCACTCTTAAAGGTCTTGCTGATTTTTTGTTGTTTTTTTTTTCAAGAAAAAATCTTAAAATTTGTACGTATGAAAAGCGAAATAAAAGTTGTACCTATTGATTCAATTTTCTCGAATTGGGTTAATATTAACAAAAAATATCCAACATAAATTGTTCTACAAACTCAAAGAACTTTAAGGCCATTGCAGAAAATGAACCAGATGTAGAAAATGGAACACCAGCACTAATTGCAGATCTTTCAGCTCGTGGGGTTTGGGATAGACATTCGGCTGCGTCGTTCGACATCCGTGCTACAGACACTGACGCTCCGTCTTACCAAAACCGCAATCCCATGAATGTACTGAAAACTGCAGAGATTGAGAAGAAAAGTAAGTATGGAACAGCTTGTGAAGAAAAACACATGTCTTTCACTCCACTTGTCACTTCAATAGATGGTGTTTTGGCACAGGAGTTCAAGTTTTTCCTCAAACGACTAGCAGGTGGCCTGGCGTCAAAATGGGACCGCCCATATAGTCATGTCATGTGCTGGGTGAGATGTAGAATTTCATTCGCTATACTAAGAGCAACCAAACATTTGCATCAGAGGCACAAGATCCAAATTCTTGTGCCTCTGATGCAAATGTTTTCGAAGAATATGAGATGTTTGAAGATAAAAACACAGGATGACAACTGTGAACAAGCAACAAAAAAATTTTCCTTGCACCATTCGAAACCAATTTATTTTGATTTTAAGTTAAATTTACATTGTTGCGAGTTAAAAAAAAACTTCAAGGCCATTTAATTTGTTTTCTTCGCAATTCAAAAATTGAAAGTTCTTGAAAAAATAAGTAAGTATTTTTTCAGTTCCCGTGCGTTTATTACTCTTTTCCAACTGTTGGTTGATTATGTTTTAAGGTTTCGGCTCTTTCACTATTTTGTATGTCAAAGTTTCGGAATTTTTTCTTCCCCCACTTGCAACTTTTTACAAAAAAAAATGTTCAGATTGTCTGATTTTTACAGAAATTGATGTATGGAGTCATTAGGCTATGACCAAGATATTCGGTCTTATAATTAGCCTTGTAAAAGCACTCGTTACTCCATAAAAATGATGTTAGTTTGAGGTGGGGTGAGGGCGGGGAAAAAAGTAATAAAAAAGCAGGATTTCAACTTTATAATACGACCATTGGGATCAGCGAACCTTATTTTTTGACCGGGCCAATCAAAATCTCCCAATTCGACTCAACTCATATTTTATTCCAGCGGGTGAAACGGAAGTAGTTTCAAAAGAAAGAAATTTATCTAAAACACATGTTTCTAATGTTTGCCGAACAAAACTGGCCAAAATTTTTTCTTTCACCGAAACAAAATAGCCTAACTGCAAAAGCGTTATAATTAGTAGCAAAAAGTTCGGACAGACAGAATTAATTACAATGAGCAATCAGTGCTTTTCAACGTTTTTTTCCCATGCAAAATCTGAAGGCGAACAACCTTGAGTTTTTGTCAAACCAAATTGAAAATGCGAGATCGTCGATTATCCGATGATTATGCAAGCCTAATTTTGAAAACTGCGACGAAAAATCAGATTTTACAATAGAATAGTTAGCAAAATTAGTTAAGAAGTCGAAATCTACCGTTTGTGATGTTTCACAAAGACCAATATCAGGGATTTATGTTCAACAAAAAAGAGATTAGGCCGCCCCAAGAAAACAAATGGAAGAAAAGATGATGAAATATAAGAATGAAGAATAATGAACAAAAAAATGGCTTTAGATCCACCAAAAATTCAAGAAGAAGCAGCCCAAAAAGTTTGCGATATTTGATTTTCTTTGCCGGAAGAGTATGCGCAAAATCTTCCCCTTAGTGTGTCTAGTCGACTTCCGAATGCAATTGCCCGCCGTGGTTATAGGTTTTGAGCGAAACTCTGCTTTATGAACTTTCGACGTCATGTTTTTTTTTCAGTTTTATTTTCCGTTGATGTCTAGACAGCTGTTTTTTTTTTCAATTAATTCTGTCTGTCCGAACTTTTTTTGCAACTCTATATATATATTGCTGATTTCAACTAAGTATTTTTGTATGATTCATGATCCTTTCTCGAGTTGCGTTAGGAAGAGAAGTTGACAATCTTTTGAACAACAATTAGAAGTTGGAAAAGGAGTTCAGAAAAAGATAAGTAATTATCCGTTATTATTTTCATAAAGATATGAATTCTTCACTTGCGCTAGTTGGGCAAATAAAGGATGAATATGAAGAAAGTTTAAATGGGAGAAAATGGGAAAAAAATTACTTTTGTTTCAATAAGTAGCGTAAATGGGGAATTAATTTGACTGAAAAAATCCGTTGTAGCAAACAAATTGATCCAAATGTTTGCAGAAATTGAAGCCAAAATGAAGCTCACAATTATAAAAATCAAGATATGTTTTTGCAGCTTCCAGTCTGTACCATCAACAAAATATGTCAGCAGCTTGACTTCAATTGGCAAATTTTTTTTATTTTATCAAAATTTCATTGATTAAATTGTGTTCGCTTAAAGCAGGAGGCCGTGATAGAAGGAAATAGCTCTAACATCTAGATAGTTTAGCTAAAACTTTTTGTGGCAAGTTTTCATTGTCTGTTTAGTTTGTTATGACCTGTAATTTAATTTGTGCTCCTCTATGGGGAGAGAACCTTGAATTTATTCGTTAACGATTGAGAATCAATTCAGTTGAGCCATTGTGACGCTTTAGTCTCTGCTTTTTGTGCTTCCAATTTATTCGAACTTAGAAGGAACCATTTTATTTTTGATATATGAAGCTACATTCACCAAACTTTTATCTATGATGTTTCGACCTCTTCAGCATTTCAAAATTGATTAAAAACAAATAATTTAAGAAAGTGTACTAGTGTTGGAAAATACTAATAAATAATGTTTATTGACAATTTATTTCATTGCGATATATTAGTATGACAGTTAATCAACCCTCTTTGTAGCACATTTGAAACATACTCGTCGCCTATGATACCACACAACCAAAGCCCTGCACAGAATGCCTTCAATTACTCCAACGCTCCCTCTTCTAGCCAGAACTTCGGACAAGTGAACCAGATGATGGCTGCTTCTCCAGGAAGCATGACTGGATCCGGAGGCGTTGCTTATTCTCCGGAAGTGGCTGAAAATGATGGATATGAAAGCAACACGCCTACTAACAGCCCAGGCTACAGCGGATGGCAATAGTAAAAAGTTCGATAGTTCGTTTCGATCAACCTAAAAAAGAGAAATGAAGATAGATCCGAGCAAATTTCGATTATTTTTATGGCAGTTTTTGTTTCAATTACTGTTAGTCGTTTAAAAAAAACACCTAAATCAGTAGCGTGCTTCGGATAATTTTATAAGAGTGGAGACTGGAAAAATGTTGTCTATATTTTTGGATTTTTGGGTTATTTCGGGCCTGATTTTCAAATTTTTCAGCCGCGCCAGTAATAATTCAAGAAACAAAAGAGCGAACCAAAAAGGCAGTTTCAGCGGTAACTTATTAGAAAGTTTTCTTTACAGTTTTTTTTAGAATGGGAACACTTGCGTTAATTTGAAAAATTGAAATAAAAATTTATTCAAACCCCCCTCCCCACACACCGAACAAACAAAAACACTTTATGTGAGCAAAATAAATAAGAAAGAAAGATAAATTTTAGAAATCATTTAGATACTTAATTGATTTTTGAAATAGTTGTGGGCCGCTGAAGAAACCGTTTTAACTAACGAACTTTTTTGGCGTGCGTCAAGGTTGATGTTAACTGCCTACAAGGAAGCAATCGAAAGTTTTTTTATTTATACTGTTTGATCAGTTTTTTGAAGGAACCAAGATACCAAGATAAGAAATCTACTTTGATATTACTTTTTATGCTAATAAGAGTAGGGAACGTAGTGAGAACTCACTCTTAAAGGTCTTGCTGATTTTTTGTTGTTTTTTTTTTCAAGAAAAAATCTTAAAATTTGTACGTATGAAAAGCGAAATAAAAGTTGTACCTATTGATTCAATTTTCTCGAATTGGGTTAATATTAACAAAAAATGTCCAAGATAAATTGTTCTACAAACTCAAAGAACTTTAAGGCCATTGCAGAAAATGAACCAGATGTAGAAAATGGAACCCCAGCACTAATTGCAGATCTTTCAGCTCGTGGGGTTTGGGATAGACATTCGGCTGCGTCGTTCGACATCCGTGCTACAGACACTGACGCTCCGTCTTACCAAAACCGCAATCCCATGAATGTACTGAAAACTGCAGAGATTGAGAAGAAAAGTAAGTATGGAACAGCTTGTGAAGAAAAACACATGTCTTTCACTCCACTTGTCACTTCAATAGATGGTGTTTTGGCACAGGAGTTCAAGTTTTTCCTCAAACGACTAGCAGGTGGCCTGGCGTCAAAATGGGACCGCCCATATAGTCATGTCATGTGCTGGGTGAGATGTAGAATTTCATTCGCTATACTAAGAGCAACCAAACATTTGCATCAGAGGCACAAGATCCAAATTCTTGTGCCTCTGATGCAAATGTTTTCGAAGAATATGAGATGTTTGAAGATAAAAACACAGGATGACAACTGTGAACAAGCAACGAAAAAATTTTCCTTGCACCATTCGAAACCAATTTATTTTGATTTTAAGTTAAATTTACACTGTTGCGAGTTAAAAAAAAACTTCAAGGCCATTTAATTTGTTTTCTTCGCAATTCAAAAATTGAAAGTTCTTGAAAAAATAAGTAAGTATTTTTTCAGTTCCCGTGCGTTTATTACTCTTTTCCAACTGTTGGTTGATTATGTTTTAAGGTTTCGGCTCTTTCACTATTTTGTATGTCAAAGTTTCGGAATTTTTTCTTCCCCCACTTGCAACTTTTTACAAAAAAAAATGTTCAGATTGTCTGATTTTTACAGAAATTGATGTATGGAGTCATTAGGCTATGACCAAGATATTCGGTCTTATAATTAGCCTTGTAAAAGCACTCGTTACTCCATAAAAATGATGTTAGTTTGAGGTGGGGTGAGGGCGGGGAAAAAAGTAATAAAAAAGCAGGATTTCAACTTTATAATACGACCATTGGGATCAGCGAACCTTATTTTTTGACCGGGCCAATCAAAATCTCCCAATTCGACTCAACTCATATTTTATTCCAGCGGGTGAAACGGAAGTAGTTTCAAAAGAAAGAAATTTATCTAAAACACATGTTTCTAATGTTTGCCGAACAAAACTGGCCAAAATTTTTTCTTTCACCGAAACAAAATAGCCTAACTGCGAAAGCGTTATAATTAGTAGCAAAAAGTTCGGACAGACAGAATTAATTACAATGAGCAATCAGTGCTTTTCAACGTTTTTTTCCCATTAAAAATCTGAAGGCGAACAACCTTGAGTTTTTGTCAAACCAAATTGAAAATGCGAGATCGTCGATTATCCGATGATTATGCAAGCCTAATTTTGAAAACTGCGACGAAAAATCAGATTTTACAATAGAATAGTTAGCAAAATTAGTTAAGAAGTCGAAATCTACCGTTTGTGATGTTTCACAAAGACCAATATCAGGGATTTATGTTCAACAAAAAAGAGATTAGGCCGCCCCAAGAAAACAAATGGAAGAAAAGATGATGAAATATAAGAATGAAGAATAATGAACAAAAAAATGGCTTTAGATCCACCAAAAATTCAAGAAGAAGCAGCCCAAAAAGTTCGCGATATTTGATTTTCTTTGCCGGAAGAGTATGCGCAAAATCTTCCCCTTAGTGTGTCTAGTCGACTTCCGAATGCAATTGCCCGCCGTGGTTATAGGTTTTGAGCGAAACTCTGCTTTATGAACTTTCGACGTCATGTTTTTTTTTCAGTTTTATTTTCCGTTGATGTCTAGACAGCTGTTTTTTTTTTCAATTAATTCTGTCTGTCCGAACTTTTTTGCAACTCTATATATATTGCTGATTTCAACTAAGTATTTTTGTATGATTCATGATCCTTTCTCGAGTTGCGTTAGGAAGAGAAGTTGACAATCTTTTGAACAACAATTAGAAGTTGGAAAAGGAGTTCAGAAAAAGATAAGTAATTATCCGTTATTATTTTCATAAAGATATGAATTCTTCACTTGCGCTAGTTGGGCAAATAAAGGATGAATATGAAGAAAGTTTAAATGGGAGAAAATGGGAAAAAAATTACTTTTGTTTCAATAAGTAGCGTAAATGGGGAATTAATTTGACTGAAAAAATCCGTTGTAGCAAACAAATTGATCCAAATGTTTGCAGAAATTGAAGCCAAAATGAAGCTCACAATTATAAAAATCAAGATATGTTTTTGCAGCTTCCAGTCTGTACCATCAACAAAATATGTCAGCAGCTTGACTTCAATTGGCAAATTTTTTTTATTTTATCAAAATTTCATTGATTAAATTGTGTTCGCTTAAAGCAGGAGGCCGTGATAGAAGGAAATAGCTCTAACATCTAGATAGTTTAGCTAAAACTTTTTGTGGCAAGTTTTCATTGTCTGTTTAGTTTGTTATGACCTGTAATTTAATTTGTGCTCCTCTATGGGGAGAGAACCTTGAATTTATTCGTTAACGATTGAGAATCAATTCAGTTGAGCCATTGTGACGCTTTAGTCTCTGCTTTTTGTGCTTCCAATTTATTCGAACTTAGAAGGAACCATTTTATTTTTGATATATGAAGCTACATTCACCAAACTTTTAACTATGATGTTTCGACCTCTTCAGCATTTCAAAATTGATTAAAAACAAATAATTTAAGAAAGTGTACTAGTGTTGGAAAATACTAATAAACAATGTTTATTGACAATTTATTTCATTGCGATATATTAGTATGACAGTTAATCAACCCTCTTTGTAGCACATTTGAAACATACTCGTCGCCTATGATACCACACAACCAAAGCCCTGCACAGAATGCCTTCAATTACTCCAACGCTCCCTCTTCTAGCCAGAACTTCGGACAAGTGAACCAGATGATGGCTGCTTCTCCAGGAAGCATGACTGGATCCGGAGGCGTTGCTTATTCTCCGGAAGTGGCTGAAAATGATGGATATGAAAGCAACACGCCTACTAACAGCCCAGGCTACAGCGGATGGCAATAGTAAAAAGTTCGATAGTTCGTTTCGATCAACCTAAAAAAGAGAAATGAAGATAGATCCGAGCAAATTTCGATTATTTTTATGGCAGTTTTTGTTTCAATTACTGTTAGTCGTTTAAAAAAAACACCTAAATCAGTAGCGTGCTTCGGATAATTTTATAAGAGTGGAGACTGGAAAAATGTTGTCTATATTTTTGGATTTTTGGGTTATTTCGGGCCTGATTTTCAAATTTTTCAGCCGCGCCAGTAATAATTCAAGAAACAAAAGAGCGAACCAAAAAGGCAGTTTCAGCGGTAACTTATTAGAAAGTTTTCTTTACAGTTTTTTTTAGAATGGGAACACTTGCGTTAAATTGAAAAATTGAAATAAAAATTTATTCAAACCCCCCTCCCCACACACCGAACAAACAAAAACACTTTATGTGAGCAAAATAAATAAGAAAGAAAGATAAATTTTAGAAATCATTTAGATACTTAATTGATTTTTGAAATAGTTGTGGGCCGCTGAAGAAACCGTTTTAACTAACGAACTTTTTTGGCGTGCGTCAAGGTTGATGTTAACTGCCTACAAGGAAGCAATCGAAAGTTTTTTTATTTATACTGTTTGATCAGTTTTTTGAAGGAACCAAGATACCAAGATAAGAAATCTACTTTGATATTACTTTTTATGCTAATAAGAGTAGGGAACGTAGTGAGAACTCACTCTTAAAGGTCTTGCTGATTTTTTGTTGATTTTTTTTCAAGAAAAAATCTTAAAATTTGTACGTATGAAAAGCGAAATAAAAGTTGTACCTATTGATTCAATTTTCTCGAATTGGGTTAATATTAACAAAAAATGTCCAAGATAAATTGTTCTACAAACTCAAAGAACTTTAAGGCCATTGCAGAAAATGAACCAGATGTAGAAAATGGAACCCCAGCACTAATTGCAGATCTTTCAGCTCGTGGGGTTTGGGATAGACATTCGGCTGCGTCGTTCGACATCCGTGCTACAGACACTGACGCTCCGTCTTACCAAAACCGCAATCCCATGAATGTACTGAAAACTGCAGAGATTGAGAAGAAAAGTAAGTATGGAACAGCTTGTGAAGAAAAACACATGTCTTTCACTCCACTTGTCACTTCAATAGATGGTGTTTTGGCACAGGAGTTCAAGTTTTTCCTCAAACGACTAGCAGGTGGCCTGGCGTCAAAATGGGACCGCCCATATAGTCATGTCATGTGCTGGGTGAGATGTAGAATTTCATTCGCTATACTAAGAGCAACCAAACATTTGCATCAGAGGCACAAGATCCAAATTCTTGTGCCTCTGATGCAAATGTTTTCGAAGAATATGAGATGTTTGAAGATAAAAACACAGGATGACAACTGTGAACAAGCAACGAAAAAATTTTCCTTGCACCATTCGAAACCAATTTATTTTGATTTTAAGTTAAATTTACACTGTTGCGAGTTAAAAAAAACTTCAAGGCCATTTAATTTGTTTTCTTCGCAATTCAAAAATTGAAAGTTCTTGAAAAAATAAGTAAGTATTTTTTCAGTTCCCGTGCGTTTATTACTCTTTTCCAGCTGTTGGTTGATTATGTTTTAAGGTTTCGGCTCTTTCACTATTTTGTATGTCAAAGTTTCGGAAATTTTTCTTCCCCCACTTGCAACTTTTTACAAAAAAAAATGTTCAGATTGTCTGATTTTTACAGAAATTGATGTATGGAGTCATTAGGCTATGACCAAGATATTCGGTCTTATAATTAGCCTTGTAAAAGCACTCGTTACTCCATAAAAATGATGTTAGTTTGAGGTGGGGTGAGGGCGGGGAAAAAAGTAATAAAAAAGCAGGATTTCAACTTTATAATACGACCATTGGGATCAGCGAACCTTATTTTTTGACCGGGCCAATCAAAATCTCCCAATTCGACTCAACTCATATTTTATTCCAGCGGGTGAAACGGAAGTAGTTTCAAAAGAAAGAAATTTATCTAAAACACATGTTTCTAATGTTTGCCGCACAAAAATGGCCAGAATTTTTTCTTTCACCGAAACAAAATAGCCTAACTGCGAAAGCGTTATAATTAGTAGCAAAAAGTTCGGACAGACAGAATTAATTACAATGAGCAATCAGTGCTTTTCAACGTTTTTTTCCCATGCAAAATCAGAAGGCGAACAACCTTGAGTTATTGTCAAACCAAATTGAAAATGCGAGATCGTCGATTATCCGATGATTATGCAAGCCTAATTTTGAAAACTGCGACGAAAAATCAGATTTTACAATAGAATAGTTAGCAAAATTAGTTAAGAAGTCGAAATCTACCGTTTGTGATGTTTCACAAAGACCAATATCAGGGATTTATGTTCAACAAAAAAGAGATTAGGCCGCCCCAAGAAAACAAATGGAAGAAAAGATGATGAAATATAAGAATGAAGAATAATGAACAAAAAAATGGCTTTAGATCCACCAAAAATTCAAGAAGAAGCAGCCCAAAAAGTTCGCGATATTTGATTTTCTTTGCCGGAAGAGTATGCGTAAAATCTTCCCCTTAGTGTGTCTAGTCGACTTCCGAATGCAATTGCCCGCCGTGGTTATAGGTTTTGAGCGAAACTCTGCTTTATGAACTTTCGACGTCATGTTTTTTTTCAGTTTTATTTTCCGTTGATGTCTAGACAGCTGTTTTTTTTTCAATTAATTCTGTCTGTCCGAACTTTTTTTGCAACTCTATATATATTGCTGATTTCAACTAAGTATTTTTGTATGATTCATGATCCTTTCTCGAGTTGCGTTAGGAAGAGAATTTGACAATCTTTTGAACAACAATTAGAAGTTGGAAAAGGAGTTCAGAAAAAGATAAGTAATTATCCGTTATTATTTTCATAAAGATATGAATTCTTCACTTGCGCTAGTTGGGCAAATAAAGGATGAATATGAAGAAACTTTAAATGGGAGAAAATGGGAAAAAAATTACTTTTGTTTCAATAAGTAGCGTAAATGGGGAATTAATTTGACTGAAAGAATCCGTTGTAGCAAACAAATTGATCCAAATGTTTGCAAAAATTGAAGCCAAAATAAAGCTCACAATTATAAAAATCAAGATATGTTTTTGCAGCTTCCAGTCTGTACCATCAACAAAATATGTCGGCAGCTTGACTTCAATTGGCAAATTTTTTTTATTTTATCAAAATTTCATTGATTAAATTGTGTTCGCTTAAAGCAGGAGGCCGTGATAGAAGGAAATAGCTCTAACATCTAGATAGTTTAGCTAAAACTGTTCGTGGCAAGTTTTCATTGTCTGTTTAGTTTGTTATGATCTGTAATTTAATTTGTGCTCCTCTATGGGGAAAGAACCTTGAATTTATTCGTTAACGATTGAGAATCAATTCAGTTGAGCCATTGTGACGCTTTAGTCTCTGCTTTTCGTGCTAAGTAAACAAAGTGAAGATAGCTGAAGGATGATAGTGTAGAAACTGCCAAAAAATTTCCTAAATTTTTGAACAAGGAAAATCAGACCATGTAAATATAGATGAATCAGGGCAAAAGCTGCTGTAATTTTTTGAAATTCGAACTGATGAAATACTTTCAAAGTTTTACGTCAAAAATTAAAAACTATCAGATAAACAGTTTGCTTCTAGAACTAAATTTCAAAAGAATTATCGTTTGAACTATAATGAAAGCTACTGGGTTAATGAAGGATTCAAAAAATGAATCCTAATAAATTCATATTTCAAAGCAAAATGGAGATATTGATGAATGGAACTGAAAGTTTAGTATCATGCATGACAAATAGATGCACTTATAGGATGCTATTCTCATGCGCGAAAGACCGAAATGCCAAAAAACTTGTGGGCGAAAGACGGAAAACAAAATTAGCCGAGAATCATTTTATTAAAAATAATCAATTGTGCTTCAATTGAAAGGATTTAAATGAAGCAATATTTTGCTTCTTTCATAACAAAACCCTTGAAATATTGACACTCAAAAAAATTACTGAAAGTTCTGTTCGGTCAACAGGTTCAAGTGTGGAAAAATTGTTTTTTTTTCTCCAGCAGAATTTAGACAACTCTGTTCTCAAAGAACTGACTTCAAGAAACGAAAGAAACCCTATCAAACATCTGGTTGCGTTATTTTCTTTCTCGAATCCTTATTTTACTGGATTATTGTACGGGACCTAGTAAATGTTCTAAGTCACACTTGAAATGATCTTTTTCAGATCTAATTTCAGATCTGAAATGGGTTGTGAAACGTTAAAATAATGCGTGGATACTTTAGGAATGGGTTTTTTCAGATCTGTTTCAGATCTGAAATTTAGTTTTTCTTGGATATTTACGGTTTGAAGAATTTTTAGATTTTCACGCAATTTTTTCTAATTCTGACACTTTTGTATTTGATAGCTTCTGCTAGCTGCTTATTTTTGCGCATAAAACTCAAAAAATTGATCGGTCTTCTAAGAATTTATGAAATTTTTTTATCACAGTTGAACAAGAAGTTTAATTCGAAAAAAAAACTGTTCGTGGAAATCTTCGGAAACTTTTTTTACCTGCGAGTTAGTTTGAACATAATTGCGTATTGCAGAAACATAAAAAATAAAATTCAATTGTTTGCTCGAAATGCATAAATAATCATTTAACAAATGGTTTCTTACTTACTTTTAGATTTTCACGCTTCCTTTTCAAATTTAGGGTTACTGAAATCTAATTGGCAGAATTTTACTTTCGCGCATTCGTTCCTTCGCATATGAGAGATTTCACCGCACTTATCTGCCAAAAAATCACTCAAATTTAGAACTCTTAAAATGTTGCGTATCACAAGTTTCTTCAGTATTTCTGCTATTTCTACTTCATGCAATTGATTTCCATTTCCTGTTTTCAGCATTCTGAAAGTTTTTTGGAGAACAAGCTAAGTTTGAGCTATAAAACATCCGAATTGTTTCGAAATTTAATTTTTTCTTTGATCTACTTGTTGCTGATAACTGGTGCAAAGACAGCAAAAGATCAAATAAAAACACAGTATGTCCT